GAGAGAGAGAGAGGGGCCTCCTGTGAATGAGAGGCAAGACCTTCCTTTCAGAGAGAAGAGAACTTCCTATGGAGAGAAACTCCACGATGTGCCTTCTATGGATTGAGAGGATGGTTTCTTGTAGAGAAGCAGTTCCTATGGAGATTTTGAGTAGTTTCCCCTTTTAGTGAGAGAAAGTCTTTGTTGCTCTCAAGGTTATTCTCCTGGACAATGGTTTAACTGGGGCATGGAGATGGTCTCTTCTTGGACAATGGTTTAACTGTGGAATGGAGATGGTCTCTTCTTGGACAATAGTTTAGTTGTGGAATGGAGATGAGAGGTCGACAATGGTGGTGATCGGGAGATTGCATCTAAAAGGGTTTACTCAACTAGGTTTTGTCGAGGGTTATAAGGCTAACTCTATGTACCAAACTTTGTAATGTAACTTTCATTGGTCTAATACATTTCAGTTTGCCATGCCCGTGGATGTAGCCCTTCTAGGGTGAATCACGTAAATCTCTATGTTCTTGTGGTGTGTGTGTTTCATGCTTTATTTCTCGTATTATGGCTAGTGTTCTTTTCTATTTTGTTTCTGGATAGGTACACGATCTTGGTGGGATCCAACTTTTGGGATTCTTGTTTCCGCATCTAAGAGGGTTCTTAAATCCTAACACATTTTGTCCTACAAAGAAAAGACAACGCCCAACATTTCGCCCTACAAAAAAAGCTGGTCTCACAGTTGTACTATAGAACTTGCCCTTCAGTTTCATAGGTATGCGACGATCACATAAATATCCTATCATCTAGAAATATTGTTATATTTTGTAGTATGGGACTAATATGTGGGATGAGTATGTATTTCACAAATATTGTGTACTTTATGAGCTTGTATTTCACAACTCCTATTTTGGAGACATTGTGTACATATTTTTTTTTGCATATTTTTCTATTTACATATTAAATTTGCTTTATTATATAAAGGTTCAATTAATTATACTTTTTGGATTTTTCAAGAGTTTTCCCATTTTTTTACAATTTGCTTGAGCCCTTAGAGGAGTTGTGTGAGTCCACTCAAACTCAACTCAACTTGGGCCTACTCCCAAGCCTGTGCCGAGTTTTAAAACTTTGTTTGAAACATGTCCATTTGCATGAACTATGCGAGCGTGACCATGTATAAAGGTCCTCATACATAAAACAGAAAATAGTGGACATAATTGAAGTTTCCCAACATCAGGGCTTAGTTCATTGGAACAATGAACCAAGAAGGCCCCATCGTTTGTCTGAGAGGTATACATCATTTTACTTTTGATTCTTGATGTGCATCCAGTCAGGAAATACAAAGGATTTCTCTCATCAAAGAATGCAATGTAAAGGTTTATCCTCAAATATTAGAACTTAAAACATTGAATTTGCAGAAATCAACAATTAGGGTTTGGCCCCCAATTTTTTTTTTTTTTCTCAGCTAATTTGCAATCTTAGGCTGGATCTATAAGGTGCTCCTTCCACCACATACAAGATGTATGAGTTAAACGGTAGGCTTTCCAGGTAAGGAGTGGCTTGTAGTACTTTAATATAAATGATGACCCTCAGCCATCATTATTTTTTATTTCTATCCTGTTAATTCCCCCCTCCCCCCAACCCCCCCACCCAAAAAACAAAATCATTGAATAACTCTCCATTTATATGTGCCCTCAGCATAACTTCATGAATAGTTGTCTATAATTCAAGGATTGCTTTTGTTTTTCAAAAAAGCAAAATGCATGTGTTGTATAGGAATGTCCATTGGGAATTACACACAGAAATTATACAATGAATAGTGTCCTATGTATAAGTACAGTTCAGGTGGTATAAGTGGATGATATTCTTGCAATGACGTATATGGTATTCACAACTTGAAGCTTCAGCTGATTCAAGTCACCTGAGATATTTTTTGGGGATTGCGACTGCATGATTGCAGTCACCTGAGATATTTTTTGGGGATTGCGACTGCATGATTCAAATCACCTGAGATATTTTTTGGGGATTGCGACTGCATGATTGCAGAATAGATAATGGATTGGACTCGTCTCAATATAGACAAAATTTTGCAACTTTATGAACATATACCAAGCAGCATCATTTTCTGCTGTTATCGTAGATATGGAAGATCCTCTAGGTCTACACACAATACTCCCAAAAAACTACCCCAAGAAAGGCTAGTACTCTACAATATAACAAGGATTTTTTTTTTAAGTTGTTAACCGTACAATATAAATTTTTTTGGTAACGCAAGATTTAAAGCATTTATATAAGATAAAAAACAATTGGCCAATTTATCATGTAATGTTATCTGAAGACATATGAGATATCTTTGGGCCACAGGAGAAATGTGCAGGTTAGTTAGGTGGGGTGAGGTTTGAGTGAGAGAGAGTAAAACCTTTGTTTTCCAGAAGATAAGTGTCAACCATCCCCCAAAAAGAACACCACGATGCAGGACAAATGAAGAAGGCAAAAATAACTTGACAGGAACTGGGTGCGCTCTTTTCGTCCTGAAGAGTTGGTTACAGAACCAGGCAGTTCTGACAAAGTTGGCCGAATTGGTTAGTCTAACCAGGGCCCCCCATTCGTAAAGAAATCATGGCTAACACAAACCTTTCATGATCGATCTAGTCTGCTGTCAATGCATTGGAACATTTATTGATGAGACTTCTACCTCAAACAAACTGCACCCTTTATACCTAGGGAATAGAATAAGCCATCAGACTGATCATACACCATTTCAGAGAGGTTCTAACCAAATTCTGGTCCTTTGGATTGGAATGCCAAAATAGCTGGTCTGCAGTTCTGGTTGGACTGGGGAGAGATCCAGTCACAATTACAGTACTTGCTATTTACAGTATCACAAATAGAGATGTTATTTTCCCACCTTGGATGTTCCAGTAGTTCTCGGTGGGGCAGAAATAGAGAGGGTTTACTAAAGACACGTGAAAAGGGGTTTTACTTTCATTTGCGTGAGGTAGATATAATAGGCACTCTTCATATAAATGGGGCAGAGAAACCAGACTTACATGTAGCAGTGCAAGTAGACCATGTCCCTTTTTACTGTTTCATGTAAGCAGGGCAGATAGATGGAAATACTTCACAAAGTGGTCCATCCAAATGGCCATAAAAAACTATAATTCTCATAAATTATGGAAAAATTGAAATTTTTTTACTATTTCTTCTAGTCATTTTACTGTGATGTTGCAAGAAACAACATATTTTCATTTGTACCGTTTGTCTCAAATTAACTCATCATTGATTGACAAGTGAAACATACTTAGTACTTAACAAATGACTTCAGCCAAACTTTCAGGTCCAGAATCTGTATAGAATATGGTATATACAGATATGTAGAAACCAAGTAGATAAAGCAAAACAGGAAAGCTGTAATATATGAAGAAGAAATAATTGCATTTCTTTGGCTCTGATATGGGCAAAACAGAAAACATAGACGTACAAGCTTGACGGGTAAAATAGGGGGTGCAATTGAAAATGTCAACTCTTCATTCCACACGGGGTTGAGATTGTTATCGATCACTCGAGTCTTCAATCTCTGAAACAAAAGTTCAATATTCATAAGTTTGAGATGAAAAACTTCCATCAAACACAATCCAATTAAGTTGTGTGAAGGTGAACAGGAAACCGAATTTTAAAAACTAATATAGTACATTAAGACCTGTAGAATGAACAAGAATTGCTAAATGGATGCTCTCCCATATTGTCCATTAAAACTATTTTTCTCAGAACGCATAAAGATTCCATTGTCAACATTTAAAGGAGAATAGCCTTGTTCCTCAAATAAAATTTTCCTTTTAATCCAAATCCCTGAATTTTGATAGAACCTGGCAAACGTAGATGATGACTTACACATAAGATACAATCTGCACAAATATTAAATCTAGAACTATAAGGTGAATAATTTCATTTTGTACACATTTGATTCAACACCAATTACTGTCAATAGACAAGTATAAAAGATTCAATTTGTTCATTCACACTTAGGTCATATTCTCATCTGTTAGGAAGCATTTTCTGAAAGTCCCTCTTCCTCATGTGGATGTTAAATTTTTGCAATTTCTGCATATCAACCGATGTAGAACCATCAAGCAATCCACAGAATCACAAAAATGAGTAAAAATCTAAATAAAATGCAAGAACAACAGTGCAGAAATATAAACAAGAAATGAATGTGATCTTGCATGGCCCCAGAAAAAGAAGGGGGAAAGGGAAGAGAGAGAGAGAGAGAGAGAGAGAGAGAGAGAGAGACTTAACATTTGGAATTCCCTGAATAACTTTTGATATCTTGCAATTGGATATCACAAAACATAACTCAAATTGTGCTTAATCATAAACATTTGACATAAATATAAGTCCATTTTTGCAGTGGGGCAATTGGAAGAGTAAACTATTATTGGTAAATAACTACTATGCTTGAGTTTCCACATGGATTAAGAAAGGACGAATCCAAGTGATCAGAGAATAACTGCTAAAAATTGTGCAAGACAGTGTGATTATTTTCTAGGAGAAATTAAATGTTGTCTCAGATGATGATAAAATACCATCACAAGTAATTAGAAGGGAAATGACAAAATCACTTCATTATAGGAAACCTGAAACATCAAGATGAGATGGTCAACCATATAAAAACATACCACTTAATCACAATAAGCAAATGAAGGAAAGTTTGACCATGTTGAAGAGCTCAATCACATTGAGACTACTGTAACATTATGCCTTGGAGATTTATTTTAATATGGATAGTGGTGTTCTTGTCAATATCAATTTGCAATTCAATGATGAGAGTGAAGTATAATAGTAAGAATTAGAAAAAATTACGTTCGTACACCATAAATTTTTGTTATTATAGAAATCCCACCGAAATCTTGTATTTTATGTTCATATCCTTTTTCATTTTTTTTCTTTCCAAAATGCCCCAACTTTTTCAAGATTCGAAGTAGTTTCCTGCTTTGGATCTTGAAGCCACTATCATCATCATCTGAGTCTTATCCCAACTATTCGGTTGGTTTTCATATTAAGTCGTGGCAAACATTTTACGCTAGTTGCCAACCTAACACAATCCTTCTCTTTTCTTATCTTGGCTTGGTACTAGCCATTGGGGAGTTATTTGAAGCCAATATCTCCAAAAAATAAATTCGGGCTTACTATAACAATGGCTATTGCCTTGGAGAAAATGTGTATGATGACCTAAAGCCCTTGAGGCCATGGCGTTATACCCATTGTTGTTGCTTTAGACCTCACCTAACAAAACACGTGGTAAAGCCATGGTGTTATAGCCACTATCATAAATTGAACTGCCTCTATCCTTGTTGGTATAGCATCATGGCCTCACCATGTGTTTTGTGAGGTGAGGTCATGAAATTAAAGCCAATATCTCAAGGCATGTTTTGTGAGGTGATTCAAAGCCATGACTATGGATCTTGAAGGTCCTAAGTCATGAAGAAATTGCTTCAGACCTTCAACATCTGCAGTCATTATATAAGTTGTGGCTTTGGATCTTTAAGTTCCAAAGTCGAGCATTTTGGAAAAATAAAAACTTGAAAAAAAAGAAGGTATGACCATAAAATACAACATTTCCTCGAGGTTTATACACGAACATAAATTTAGTGGTACATGAGCGCAAATTTCTCTAAAAAATAATATGTCACAGTTTTAAGCATCAAAATAAAGCCAAATAAACATAAACTGCATATAGGAACATATATATGAAACATGAATATGAATAGGTAAATACTAGATATTGCAGGGAAAAAAGAGAGGAAAATATAAGATAATCTGGGTAATCTTATTGTATCAAGACCTATGAGATACTTGATGTGAAACCTAATTAGGGTAAGTATGTGAGCTTGTGAGTTCGACTCTGTTTATTTGAATACATATTTATACGGGTTAAGAGCAACAACATGTCTTTCGTTTGACTCCAAAATAGAATAGAGAGAGAGAGAGAGAGAAAGAGAGAGAGAGAGAGAGAGAGAGAGAGAGAG